TTTGCTTGCTGAAAGTGAGGATGACTTGAGGCACTTACTGATGAAAATTGAGGAACACAGTCTGCAGTATGGATTACATCTCAATATAAAGAAGATAAAAATCCTCACAACTTGACCAATAAGCAGCATCACAATAAATGAAGAAAAGATTGAGGTTGTCAAAGAATTCATGTTGCTTGGTTCTACAATCGAGGCCAATAGAAGCAGCAGTCAGGACATTAGACAACGTGTAGCACTGGGTAGGTCAGCTTCCTTCTTTCAAGGGCTGAGGAGCAAGGATGTCTTCTTGAGGCCTAAGGTGCACCTGACACAGGCCATGATATTTCCAATCATCTCATATGCATGTGAGAGCTGAACAATGAATAAGGAAGACTGAAGAAGAGTTGATGCTTTTGAGTTGCGGTGCTGGCAAAGAATGCTGAAGGTACCATGGACTGCCAAAGGAACTAACAGATCTGTCTTGGAGGAAGGGCAGCCAAGATGCTCCTTGGAAGCGAGAATGGCCAGACTTCGTCTCACCTACTTTGGTCATGTTGTCAGAGGGGACCACTCCCTGGAGAAGGATGTCATCCTTGGTAAGGTGGAGGGTTGATGAAAGAGGGGAAGGCCTTCGACAAGATGGATTGACACAGTGTTTGCGACAATGGGCTCACATATAGCAAGGATCATGGAACTGGCACAGGATTGGGCAGTGTTTCGTTCTGCTGCGCATGGGGTCACTATGAGTCGGAAACGACTCGACGGCACCTAACAACAACATGTTCCGATTATTAATGGATGTTTGCAGCTGTTTCTTCCCATTTTGAGTTGTGCCACATCAGCAAATGGAGGTCTTCGAAAGCTCTACTTTAACCATGTCGTTAAGGTCAGCTCTACTCTGATAAGGCAGCTCTTTCCCAGTCATATCTTGAGTGCCTTCTAACCTGAAGGGCCCACATTCCAGCACTGTATCATAAAACGTTTCAGAGCTATTCATAAAGTTGTCCAGTAATATATGAGACAGTATTTCACTATTTATAAGGTTTTCACTGGCCAATTCTTTGAGAAGTGGATGGCCTCTTCCTTCTTCTGAGTCTGTCTCAGTCTGGGAGCTCCACTGAAACTCATCCATCATGGGCAACCCTGCTGGCTTCTGAAACACCAATGGTACAGCCTCCAGCCTCACAGCAACACACAAGCCACCACAGTAGGACAAACTGACAGACAAGTTCGTCTCCCTTATCTTCCTGCCTTGGGGCTCTCTCTCTTACCTGTTCCGGCCATCGGCCCTAGCTGCCACTTCCTGCTCGGGGTCCCTCTCCCTCCTTACCTGTTGAAGCTTGAGGGGTTGTGTTTTCCATCACACTAAGAAGACACACTTACCTTCAAAATAATATACAACATGGAGAAATATTTAAAATAAAACAAAAATTGCCCATAACCCCACCATGCAAAGGACAACTCTTGTTAAAGTTTCTGGAGATTTCTTTTCTGTCTATGTCCATGACCTAATGCTTCCCCACCACCATGTACCCTGATGTAGCTTGTACATTCTCAGAAAGTTTACTTTAACTGCTTGGCCCTAAAGGCTCTGGCCACGAGGAGCCCTCACTAGTGAGATGGCCATGTGATGGGACCTTAGACCTCCTTTTTTGTAACTAAATTCCAGGACTGGAGCTATCTGAATGGAATCCATGCCTCCTGCCCTCCCTGTCCTTCACTCCTATTCTTCATGACCTCTGCTATCACCTACTGGCACGCCTACTGGCACGCCTATTGGCACTGCCTGGGTGAGGCTGTCTGCTCTGTCAGCTATTGTTATTGCCTGCTGTTTCCTCCCCATCTCTGCTGTTTTCCCATTATTGAGGGGGTGGGTCCCCAAGCAGAACTGCTTGAGACACAGGTGGTGGACTTCTTTTCATTCTACCCATCAGCCCTCTCCTTTATGGAGCCATTGATTGGCCCTGGGGCTGAGTCAGGGTGGAGTTAGGAGCCATCTGGCCAATTAAGACCTGAACTCCCTTCCTCCCAACCTGAGTCAGCACCACCCTTGTGTTGGACCTCTTCCTCAAGAGGCTTTCTTCTGAGAGGCCTTTGTCTCTTTCTGAAGTCTAAGTTCACCAGCACCCCTCTCTGGTACTATCCCTCAACCACTCTGTGTATGCCTGGAACACAGGCTGGGAGAGGTCTCTTTCCCATGTGGTTCCAGGGCTCCCTGCAGAGCTACAAGTTGTCTTATAACTTTCCAGTGACACCATCGCTTCTAATGGCTGCTCAGAACTCCACCACATAGCCACCCCATAGTAACTTTTTATCTAATCTGTGTTGATGATTTCTTAGGTTATTCCCAGGTTTTTGCTCTTACAAACACTGCATCTGTAACCTTCCCAATAAACTTTGCTCCCACCCTGTACATTTGAGAAACCCTTCACTCTCCCTTCTCAGACAATCCAGCAAGTTCTGCTTTGTGCTAAAGCACCTCCAGAACCCTGCCCCCTCCTGTGTCAGCCCCTCGGTGGCTCCTCAGTGCCCCTGGACCTGGCACTCAAGGCCAGGTCTTGAGCTTAGTCTGTCTTCTCTGTTCAGGCTATTAAAACCAAAAAATTCCAAACTCACTACCATCAAGTCACTTCTGAGTCATAGTGACCCCCATTGAGTTTCTGAGGCAGTAAATATTTATGCAAGTATATTGCCCCACCTTCCTTCCATGGAGCAGCTGGTGGGTTTGAACTGCCAACCTTCTGGTTAGCAGTCAACTGCCGTAGGCACTGTGCCACCAGAGCTCCTTGTTCTAATTATTACTGCTCCTCGGATATGATCTGAGCTGACGACACTAAATGATGTGCTGTACTCATACTTTCCAGCCTACTGACCACCCCACTTGTTTCAGCTCTCCCCCTGCCAGGCATATCCACCCCCTTTCCAAATCCTTCTAATCCTCTAGGAACTAACTCAACTCAACTAACTCAAATGCCACTTCTTCCAGAAAGCCCTTCCTGACTCTCCTAGCTAAAAGTGTTCTCACCCTTATGAAACTAATGAGACAACCTTGCTCAATGTTTTCTTGGTGTTCATTATGTCCAAAGTGTCCTCATTTGTCTCTCTCCCCATCCTCTGCCAGGCCAGGGACTCCTGAAGTCAGGGACAATTTCTGATTTCGTTCTGTAGGGACAGGGCATGGCACAAGTGGGTGTGCTCTAAAAGGTTTTAAGGGTGGGCCTGGAGTCAGGGCCTGAGTTCTGGTCTGGATGGTCACTAGTGTTCTATGGGACCTCAGGCAACCCCCTGCCTCCTTCAGGGCCATGGCTCCCCTGTGGCCAAAGACTCTACTGTGGGGGGACTCTTCTGTGGTCAGAGGACTGTTTGGCCCTGGTCTGGAATAATCTCCCTCAGGGATAATGATTACAGGGTGCCCCCCACTCCTGGCTGCACAATCCCATTATGAGCCTTTGAGGATTTGTGTCTGAGACCCACCCTAAACCCATCACTAACATATGGCATCCTGGCAGATGAGGGGTGAGCAGAGATTGTAAACATAGACTTCACTCATTCATTCACTTCTTCATTCAGTGAAGTGTTAGCAACCCATGCTCTGAGGCAGCTCTGTGGACACAGCATTGACTCAGACCCGTCCAGTCATGGAGACACTTCAGTAAACAGCTGGCAACTCAGTGTGTGCAGTGGAGCTGGGGCAGAGGGAAGCACAGGGGCTAAGGAAGCCCAGAGAAGGGGCTTTCACCCAGCCTAAGGGTCAGGGCAGGGAAGGCCTCATGGAGGAGGGGACCCTTAAGCTGTAATGCCAGAGTATGCTTCTGCTGTAACAAGCAAAGAAAAGGGCGCTGGCAGCAGTGGTTACAGCCTGGGGTCGGGGAGAGGCCTCTGTGCTCAACTCTGATGCTGAAAGCTGCCTTCCTGTAGCCTAATGATAAGAGGAGTGTGCATGAAGCGATTATCCGCTCTTGTTTACATGATTAAAACCAGACAAATACTTCCTTTATCTGAGAGAATGAGAGGGCTTTGGGGAAAAATCCTTTTGGCAGCAAAGCAAAGCATAAGCATTTCCTTAATTAATCTTTCACCCACCCACCCCCAATAGCCACAGAAGAGTGGCCCCAGAGCTGGGAGGGAAGGGAGGGGAGAGGGAAGGGGAGGATCCACTGTCCGGGGTAGCGGGTAGCGGAGGGTGGGGAAGAGCTGAAAGAAGAGAGTCACAAGCCCCTCCCCTCCAACACAACTTCCTATGAAGGGGAGGCTGCCCCTAGGCACTAACCCAAGATGGCCACAGGGTGGCACCTCTCAGGGAAAATCCAACCATGGTCCCATTTTATAGATAAGGATTCTGAGAGTCAAAGATAGGGGAGTGACTTGCTTGCCCAAGGTCACATAGCTAATGGGCCATCAACTCCCAGCTCAGTGCTCTGACTCATTTTACTCATTCATTCATTCAGCAAGCCTGCAGTAGTTCCTGTTCAGTGTCAGCCCATGCTGGGCATTGGGCACCTCAGAGAAGTCAGGCCTGTCCCACCTCTCACATGTCCTCGATCTGGTGAGAGAGACAGGCAAACAGACAACGGCAACCAGGGTCATGACAGAGGACACTGGGAGCTGTGGGGGCCCAATAATGGATTCTTATTCTGGGAGAGAGGTCTATAGTCCAAAAAAGACTTCACTGAAGAGGTGACTCTGAGCTCCGTCTTGCATAAGTGAGAAAGGCAAATGAAGAAAGACAGGTGTTAGTAGTTAGGCATGTGTAGACAGGCTGATAAGAGGACACTAGACAGAGGAAATAGCACATGCAAAGGCCTGGAGGTGTGAAATTGCTGGTCCCGTGACACTGGGTGTAGAGAGTCCGGCTGAAGGAGCTATAAGGACTGGCTTATTGGGAGGGGGTGGTTCCCATGCTGGTGTGTTCCCCCTGGTACTAAGAGGGTGCTGGGCACAGCCAAGAGGAAGCATATGAAAGTAGGCTGGGCCCAGGGTCTCCCCACACCTAAGACCCTGACCCATATCCACTCTCCCAGCTTGATGTCTGGCCTCGCCTCCCTGGATCCCAAGACCTCCAGCCGCCTGGGCGTCCTCACCGTGGCCTATTACCTGTGGACCACTTTCATGGCAGTCATCGTGGGCATCATCATGGTCATCATCATCCACCCGGGCGGTGCAGCCCAGAAGGAGACCACAGAGCAAAGTGGGAAACCTATCATGAGTTCAGCGGACGCCCTGCTGGACCTCATCCGGTAACCTTCACCACCAGCAGCCTGCTTGGGATGCCATGCCTGAGCCAGGACCCCCAGAGCCCTGAATGTCACATCCAGAGGGAGAGATAGGGCAGGGGGTAGTAAGGAAGAGTCAGAGTCTACCCTTGATCCCATGTAGTAACAACACGTCATTCAGGGGCCAGTATCGCCCTGGTAGATTGATGCCAATGGCAAATATTAACTGAGCACCTACTCTGTGCACACATTGCCTCTGCTATATCTTACCCTGCATGATCTGCCCACTTCAGGCTGGCAGGAGCTGCCCCTCTCTGGGCGCCCGGCACCGCATGGCACCTGGCACAGAGCAGGCAGCAGGGAGGGTCGACTGACTGATGGACTGATTTCGTGATCTCACCCAGGCCACATTTAGCTTCTTCCATGGAAGATGGCAGTTATTACTTCCCCTTTTAAAATTTATTTATTTTTTTATTGTGATTTCAATGACAGTTTACAGAGCAAATTCATATTCCATACAGCAGTTCATACACATTTTGGTTCACGACATTGATTGCAATCCCCATAATGTAACAGCTCTCTTCCCGTTTCTGCCTTATGGTTGCCTTTCCCCTGTGTCCTCCTTTCCTATGCATTCCTGCCCTCTGAGCTAGCTCCCTGTGTAAATACTGCCCTCTGATTGCCCCCCTCCTTTTTTATTGGTCCCTTTTTTATAGATAAGGTCCTTGGGTGGTATAAACAGTTTGTACTCAACTATTAATCCAAAAAAACAAAAAACAAACTCACTGCCATGAAGTCGATTCTGACTCATAGTGACCCACATTGGGTTTCTGAGGCAGTATACCTTCATGGGAAGTAGGTTGCCCCATTTTCCCTCTGTGGAGCAGTTAGTGGGTTTGTACCACCAACCTTCTGATTAGCAGTCAAATGCCTTAGGCACTATGCCACCAGAGCTCCTTGTTATTAATCCAAAATTGGAGATTTGAGCTCACTCAGAGGTGCTGCAGAAGAATGGCCTGACAATCTGCTTTTGTAAAGATTAAAAAATAAATAAATAAAAAATAAACCCAAAGCAGCCAAACCCATTGCCTTCAAGTTGATTCTGATTCATGGAGACCCCGTGTGTAATCTGTAAAGATGACAGCCAAGAAAACCCTATGGGGCAGTTCTACTCTGTGACACATGAAGTTGCCATGAGTTGGAATCAACGAAAGGAAATGGTTGTTTTTCTGTTTTTTATTGTTTGTTTGTTTGTTTTAATACTTAAGGGACTAGGGCTCAGAGAGGTGAAGTGATTTTTGTAGTCATCCAGCGAATAAGTAGTGGAGCCAGGATCCAACCCAGCTCTGTGTGATCCTATGGTGCAACTGCCACAACCACCTCAGCCTTGTCAACCAGCCGTTTCACTCTTGCCTCCCTATAGTCTGTTCTCAGTAGGCAGCCACAGAGATCCTTTCTAAAGCCTGCTCAAAACCCATTACATTACACCCAATTTCCAGACTTCACTATGTCCCACAGGCGCTTCCTGAGCCCCACCATGCACCTGTCTCTGACCTCTCTGACCTCTGTGTCCACTGTCCCCTCCCCCTTGCTTCTCTCCAGCCACACTGGCCTCCAGGCTGTTCTTCTGGACTCTAGTGCCTTGTCCTCTTTACTGCCTCTGTCTGGAGACAGAGCCACACAGCTTTTCCCCCACTCGTTTTCATCTCTGCCACTGTTCCCTCTTCAGAGAGGCCTCCTGGTGTCTGTCACTCTCTGCTTACTCTGCTTCACTTTTTCTATAGCCTTTGCTATTGTCAGGTGCTGTCAAGTCGATTGACTCATGGCAATGCCATGTGGTTTTCAAGGCCGTGACCCTTCAGAAACAGACTGCCGGGCCTTTCTTCACAGGTGCCTCTGAGTGGATTCAAACCACCAATCTCTCAGCTAGTAGTCGAGTGCATAACTGTTTGAGCCACCCAGGGACTTCTTCATAGCCTTCCCTACTCTCCAACATTGTCATGTGTGTGTACTTCTTTATTTCATTTTCTGTCTTCCCCACTGGAATGAAATATGCTCTGTGAGGGCCAGATTTTTAAAAACATGTTTCCTGCTGTAGCCCCAGAGCCTGACACCGAGTAGGTGGCCAGTTGATGTTTGCTGAACATGTACGTGGAAAGTGGGGTCTGCAGTTAGTGGCTGAAACCCCAAGAGAGGACAGAAGTGCAGAGGGCACATGCAGAAGTCCAGGATGAGCCCTGGTGCACTGCCATCCAAGGGCCCGCAGAGCTGAGTGACAGGAGCCAGCGGAGGGGCAGGAGGAGACAGGCAGAGCAGATGTCCTGGAAGCCAAGGGAAGGGATGTTTCGAGCAGCCGCCTTTCTAAGATCCATTATTTCTAAGATTCAGGGACTATGATTCATCATTTCTTGGATTCTATGATTCAAAACAGCTTTGGCTGGTGGTGGAAGAAGTTGCTGGTGCTCGGGAGCCTCCGCTCTCCCTGCCACTGCCTCCCCCTGCTCGGGGGCTGCAGGCTCTGGATCAGACGCACGTGTCAGAGTCAAATGTTCCAGGAGCATTTCCTGCTCTCACTTTTCACGTGGTGAAAAGTGATCCTCCCGTTTGAGACTTTTCCTCAGTTGCTCTCAACCCCGAGCAAGTTGTTTTGCAAAGCTGGGTGGTTGGACATCACTGTCACCATTTCTTAGCCAGAGACTGGGGCTGCAGGGAGAGAGCCCATGCTTCCTGGGACAGGGAACCAGAACCTAGGAGAATTGAGGTCTCATCTCAGTTCTGCCAATAAGTCACTGTGTGAGCCTGGGCAGGCTGGTTCCCCTCTCTGGGCTGTTCCAGTGATTTTCAAGGTCCCTCTGACTGACATTCTGAGGCTTGGGAATATGAAGAGAAGCTTCTGGAGGTGGATTCTAGTGGGAGGACAGAGTGGAGCCCCACCTCGAGGGCCTTGAGTGCCAGGCTGAGATGTTGGCTGTTATGTTTTAGAAATGGGGAACCAGTGAGTTTGGGAAGGATGGAGTGGAGGAGGGTGGAGTGGACAGGATGACAGAGGCCTGGAGATGCCCTGGGAAGGGGTGGGAGGGGGAGCATCACTTCCATTCCATCCAGCCCACCTTATTAAATGCCTGCTCTGAGGGAAGATATTACACTGGGAGCTGGAGGAGCAAACCTGAGACCCTGCTGGAGGGCTGTCCATTATCTTAGGGCAGATGGACAAGAAGGATGGGCTGGGCAGCCACCCTGAGGCCCTGAAAGGCTGTGCTGGATGGGGCACCGGCAGTGAGGTACCTGGGACCTCGTCACCCTTGCTCTGCTCCAGAGGCCAATTGAGTGCTGATGCCTGAATGAGAACATGTATGACGGGGAGAGGAACTGGAAACTGGGGCAATGTGACAAACAAATATTCAGAAAGGTATGGGGGCCGACTGAACAGGGAAATGAGGCCTCTTAGCATACCTCAGGGTGGGAAGACGTGTATCCATCTTAAAGAGGATTCCAGAGGAACACAGCAGGCTGTGTCCCTGCACGACCCACCAAAACAAGAATTCATTTCCCAGGACACCAAGTGGGAGCGCTGGAAAACTGCCGTCTGCTCACAATCTAGTCTCACAGAAAAAAACCCAAGCAGAACACGAATCAGAGCTGGTCCCCTTTTTTTTTCTCCCCAGTCTTATTAAAACACCAGAGAGATTATGTAATGATTTGGCTCTATTTATAACTCCCAGTTACCCTCTCAGGGATTGGATGAGGCTCCCAGGAGCTGTGCTTAGAAAAGACTCCTTCCTACCTTGGGAGCCTGGGTTGGGGACAAAGGATTAGGGTGAGTTTGGAACCATCACAATGGGAACTTACAAATGGTAAATGAGGAAAGGAGCCAAGAGGTGTACCCTGGCCCTGCCCAGAGACATGGGCAGAGGGTGGGTGGACTCGATGGACATGACTGTTAATTTCTCCCAGGCACATTATGTTATTTTACATCACCGACACCAGGAGAAGGAGCCCTGGCAGTTCAGCAGTAAAGCGCTCATCTGCTGACCAAAAGGTGGACAGTTCAAACCCATCAGCCCAGCCACTCCATGGGAGAAACATGAGGCAGCTGCTTCTGCAAAGATTCACAGCCTTGGAAACCCTCTGGGGCAGTTCTACTCTGTCCTACAGAGTTGCCATGAGTGAGTATTGACTTGCCAGCAATAAGCTTGGTTTTGAGATTTTGGGGCTACCCAAAAAGCACAGGTCTGAAAGCAGCAAACAGAAAGCCTTCTCCTGCATGTCCAAAACCAAAAGACAATGTACATTTTCCCATCTAATAATCAAAAATATAATTATTTATTGACATCTGCCCAATAAGTTCATTGATTCTTAGTATGAACATGTGGATTAGTCAGAAATTGCTTTTGGCTACTAAAAATCCAGTTGCCATTGAGTTGATGCCCACTCTTGGTGACCCCATGTGGGTCAGAGGAGAACTGTGCTCTGTAGGGTTTTCAATGGCTGACTGTTTGGAAGTAGCTCACCAGGCCCTTCTTCCAAGGCACAAGCCTCCAGCCTTTCAGTTGGCAGCTAACATGTTAACTATTTACACCACTCTTGTAGCTGTTAAGACAAATCCAGAACAGCAGAGGCTTAAGCAAGATACAGGTTTACATTTTCTGCAAATAAGCATCTTGTGGTCATCAAGGCCCCATGTTCACTCTACTTTGTGCTCTGCCATGCTTAGCACTTCGCTTTCATCATTGTGGCGTTTCACGATCCAAGAAGGTTGCTCAAGCATCAGCTATTATGTCCACATTCCAGACAGAAAGAAGACAGTTCAAGGAAAGGACAAAAGGGCACATTTTTAAGACTTTTTCGGGAAACACCACCCAATGACTTCCACTAACATCTCATTGGCCACCTCCATGGTGAGAGAGGCTGGGAAATGGGTCAGGTGGCAGGGCCCAGTTGGGCCTCATAATATCACAGGGCTTCTGTTAGTAAAGAAGGAGGAGAGAATGGAGACTGAGTAGAAAACTAGCCGTCCCTGACATGAACACACATTTTAAATTAGTCTAATTGGGAAGGAAGTTGCAAAGAAATGTACATACTAGGTATAAGTTTCATTTGATTTCTTTTAACATTTCCAGTATTCTTCATTTCTGCTCAGTCAAAAGCAGCCTTCCCTTTAAGTTTCACTGGAAAACAAGCTTGTAAGTCCCTTAAACCTTCTGAGCCTTGTCTCTAGGAGAGATTTTCAAAATATTTGTCAGTGCAAAATGAGCGTCCTCCATTCCAGCCAGAGATGCTCAAACAAGTGAACAAACCATGGCACTCTGGGTAGCTATGTGCCCGGCACGTGCCTCGTACTCACCAGGCACTAAGTCTGCCTTCAAGTCTGCTTGACTTCACCAACCCTCGCAGGCAGCTACCATTCTAAGGACAGAAATCCACTCATGGCTAATGGAAAGAAAAGCCTCATATGAATTTCTGAGATCCCAGCTCCAGACCTCTGCTGCTTCTCTTCCTTGTAACATAGCTGAACTTAGTGGGAAATTGTGGTTAGATCCCGACACACCCATGACCACTCTTTCCCAATTTTCTGCCGTGGTAGCTCACTCCAGGCCTCCTTCCTCCTGCTATGAGTTTACACTGAGCCTGCATTTTGTTGTTGTTGTTGTTGTTGTTGGCTGCTATTGTATTGCCCCCAACTCATGACAGGCATAACATGCCTGCACAACAGAGCCAAACACAGCCCAGTCCTGCATCATCCCTGTGAGTGGCTGTGGATCAGACTATTGTGATCCATAGGTTTTTCACTGGCTGATTTCCAGAAGTAGGTTGCCAGGCCTTTCTTCCTAGTTTATCTTAGTCTGGAGGCTCTGCTGAAATCTATTCAGCATCACAGCAACATGCAGGCCTCCACTGATAGGTAAGCGGTGGCTGTGCATAAAGTGCATTGGCCGGGAATCAAACCCTGGTCTCTGGCATACTCATTCAAAAAACTCACTACCACAGAATCAATTCCAATTCATGGTGACCCTCATTGAGTTTCCAAAGCAGTAATTCTTTATGGAAGTAGATTGCCCCATCTTCCTTCTGCAGAGCAGCTGGTGGGTTTGAACCACCAACTTTCTGTTTAGCAGTCAAATGCCTTAAGGACTGTGTTACCAGAGCTCCTTTGGTCCCTGGCATAGAAGGTGAGAATTCTAGTTTCTGTTTTCCAACAATGGCTGTTGGGTGTGAAGTCAGAAGCAATGCACTCATATCCACATATATGACTCTATGTGTGTGTAAGTGAACCTGGAAGAAAAAGATTTGCCAAGAACAACAGTGAGTGAGGACAAGTCAATCCAGTAGAGGAGAGTGAGGAATATTCTGTTCACGAACATGCAAGCACATGGACAACAATCTGTGTCAGCATCTCTTATTCATTTCTTAGAATAGGTTCCTAGAAGAGGGTTATAAAGGTGATGATACGAGTTGCTAACTGCTTTACAGAAAGATTGCTGTCAGAAGCCCATGAAAGTGCCCATCTCACCAACCCTCTCCCAGCATTGTGCATTGTCACGTTAAAAAAAAAATTTTTGCCAGTTCAATAGGTGAACATGTTTTTCATTTATTGATGAAGTGCAACCTTTTTTTTCTTTGGTGAAAATATACACAACAAAACACACACCTGTTCAACAGTTTTTCATGTACTGTTAGTTCACTAACAGTGGTTGCAGACTACACATGTATCACTATTCCCACTATTCCCACTCTGGCCCTATTGTTGTACCACTGTTAATAGATTCTCTGTCACTTAAAGTTCTCATTTGTGTTTAGGTTTTCTCCTGGCATTTCCATCTCATATAGGTAATCCTGCAATAGGGTGCAATGCTCAATGTAAATGCACATTATTTATTGAGCTAAATTGTTGTTTAATTTAAATATGACTTCATGGGATAGTTTTGGCTCACAATTCAAAAGTGTTTTCCAGGTGGTAGATTTGGGGGTCCCTTCAGTCTCAATATGTCCAGTAAGATTCCATTCCATAACCAGGTACCATCCATTTCTTCTGGTCTTGTGGCAAGGTAGGAAGTAGTTCATGGAGCAATCAGACCTGCAAACCATTTCCTTCTCTAACTCCTGGGTCTCCTTCTTCTTCTGTTGCTCCAGGCAAAGAGAGATCAATTGTTGTATCTTGGACAGCCATTCACAAAAAGCAGATGATTTTTGAAAAGTTGTTTGGTCCATTTACATTTTTTCTTTTGTGCAAGTGATTTGCCTACTCAGGTCTTACAATCTTTTTTTTTTTTTTTTTTTTTTTTTGGAGTGTTAATGTTTTTGGTGGTCCACTTTTTTATGCAACAAGTATTTACTGGGTGCTCACTATGTGTTAGACACTCTTCCAGGTGCTTGGGACACCGCAGTGAACAAAACAGAGGTCCCTTCTCTCGGGGAGCTGGCATTTTCGCAGGAGGAGATAGACTGTGAACATGTAAACATAAAAAGATTTGTAAAGGCACTTTAGAAATTTAGGAAGATAACACTTTGTCTTAGCTTCCTCAGTTTGTCATTTGCTTTCTAATTGTATTTGTATTGATTCTATCTTAGAGTGCTTCTTAATTTTTATTCATTAATTTTTTAGCTTTTCATGTTTGGAATAGTTGCAGATTTACAGAAAAGTTGCAGACATAACATAGTACCGAGAGTTCCTGTATAGTCCCCACCCAGCTTCCCCTGATATCAGCATCTTACATAACTGTAGTACGCTAGAAAGGAAATGGGTATGACACCATTAACTCAATTACAGACTTTATTTGAATTTCAACAGTTTTTCCACTCATGTCATTTTTTCTGCTCCAAGATCCAATCCAGGATACCACATTGCATTGAGGATATTCTTCATTTGGTAACACTGTGGGGCAGTTCGACTCTGTCCTATAGGGTCATTATGAGTCACACTCAACAACAGCAATCAGTTAAGATCTATGGACTTTTATTACTCATTTGTTCTTAGAGAGCCGTTTCATATCCTGAGATCTGAGACAATATTAACCTATATTTTCTCCTCGTTTTGTTTGGTTTCATTTTGCAAAATCATTTATTTCTTTAAATCATCTGGAATTTATTTTGGTGTAAAGTGTGAAGGAAAGAATTAACTTTTATTTTTGCAGTAGTTGCTCAGTTGTACAATATGATGAATGCTTCTTTCCTCACTGATTTATGAAACACCTTCTTATCAAATATGAAATATTTGGTATATTAGGTTCTGTTTCTGAGCTATAAGTTCTGTTACGCTGATTTTTCTATTGATTGCTATGTCAGTATCACACCACTTTTTTTATTTTTATTTTTGCAGAGTTCCCTCCTCTCACCTCCCACTCCTGGTAACCAACAAAGAAAGCTTCCTTCCACATATAAACCTTTCCTTGACCTTTTACAATAATGAACTAACACAATATTTGTCCTTCTGTGATTGATTTATTTCACTCAGCATAATGTCCTCCAAGTTCATCCACGTTATGCAGTGTTTTGTAGATGCTACGTTATTCTTTAGGGTTGCATAGAATTCCATTGTGTGCATGTACCATAGTTTGCTTATCCATTCTGTTGATGGGCACCTAGTTTGTTTCCATCTTTTTGCTATTGTAAATAGTGCTGTGATGAACATGGGAGTATCACAACACTTTGATAGTCACATCTTTACAGTGTGTTCTTAGTATGTTCTAATATGTGGTAGGACACAAGCCCCTCCACTTTTAGTTTTATAATAGAAATAATGATGATGATGATTCCAGTTATATGCCAGGTGTTGTGGTGGGCTCTACAGATGAGCTATGAATGACAAAGTCCCTGCTTTCAAGGGGCCCATCTATGCGGGAGGGAGCTCTGGTAGCGTAGTGCCTAAGGCATTTGACTGCTAACCAGAAGGCTGGCGGTTCAAACTCACCAGCCACTCCTCGGAAGGAAGATGGGGCAATCTACTTCCGTAGTGATACTGCCTTGGAAACTCAAGGAGGGGTCGCTATGAGTCGGGTCCAACTCGACGACACATAACAACAAGAACATCTATGGGGGAAGTAGACATACATCAACCAGTGACCACACTAAAGCATGGTGGAGTGAGGTGAAGTCCATGAGGGAGACTGCAGAGTCTGCCTGGAGCAGTCAGGGAAGCCTGGACAGTGATGGCCTTTATTTGGCCTATGCTTGATTTGAATAGGAGCCAGCCAGGCAGAGAAGCAGAAAGGGCATTCCAGACAGAAGGAGCCATGTAGACAAAATTATGGAACTGGAAAAGTGCATGATATGTTTAGAGAACTTTAAGCAACTGGTGTGGAAGCTTTAATTACTGGGAGTGCGCTGGGGGTGCCAAGAGGTGACACTGCAGAGGGAGGTGAGGCTGGCTCCTGGAAACCCTCCACTGCCCAGGGAGACCTTCAAATGACCCCACGGGGCCCACCCCAATTCCTGGGCTCTGGAATTCTTCAATTACCAACTCTCTTCCCAGGAATATGTTTCCAGCCAACCTGGTGGAAGCCACATTCAAACAGGTGAGTGGGTCCCTGGGCAATGAAGGGGAAGGGACAGCTGGTGGGAGAGGTGGACAGGCAAGGGCAGCCTGGGCTCCACTGGGAGGAGACAAGTTTGCCCTGGAGGTTTGCAGGTTCTCAGCTGTCCTCTTATCCTGTTGCCTGAGGGAAGTGAGACTTAGATCCTTCGCGCCCTCCATGGCCATACTGTCTTGGGTTCTAGTTTTCCACAAAGAAAAATGATGGGAGTGGAAGGAAGCCTTGTTGAGAAAGGCTCTGCCCTTGGTTTTGTGCTGGTGACCACACATATACCATCTCACTCAGTCCTCACAGTTACCCTACACTCAGGTAGTATTAATCCCATTTCCTGGATGGGGAAACAGAGGCTCAGAAGGATTAAGGATTTGCCCAAGGTTATGCCAATAGTAAATATCAGAACTAGTAGGTAAACTGGCTGGCTTCTAAGTCTATTCTCTCTTTCTTCTAAAAATCATCCTTTTGTAGTGTTGTAGTCAGTAGCCTTGCATACATTATTTTGCAAATATTTAAGTACCTGTATGATCTTTTCCTCTTGGTAAACTCCTATCCATCCTGCAAGACCCAGATCAAATGTTCCATCCTTTGTGAAGCTTCTCCCTTGTAGTCCACGCCCTCTCCTAGGCTCTCAGAGGAGAAATAATGTCTGGTTCATTTTTGTATCCCAAGTGCTTAGCAGAGCATCCAGCGGTGTACTCAAACTGGAATAATGATGATGATGACAGTGATAGCAGTTACTATGTGGCAGGTTGTGTTGTAAGCACTTTACATATATTGTCTCTTTAGTCCAAGGAGAGAGATACTATGATGATCCTTATTTTACAGATGAGGAAACAGAAGCAGAGAGACTTTAAGTCTACATGTTTCCTGAGTGGTTCTTTTTCCCCTTGTTACGAGGCTTGCTTCACTGCTAACTTGATGTCTGGGAGGCTGGGAGACTGCAGCGTTTAGGCTCCCAGACGTGAGGAATGGAGTAGAGAGACCCACGAAGGCCCTGGGGGCAGAGGAGCCAGTGCAGGTGGCTCCCGCAGCTCAGCTTCTCCCACCCAGGGCCTAACCTGGTCAAGAAAGCAGGGCTTTTATAGAAGGCCCATGTTTTCATCAGGTGAAGGTGGAGCTGGCTGGCTGGCTGTTAGGTACATAGATGATAGATGGCTGGAAGGAATAAATGGGTGAATTATCGAGGGCGATGAGAGATGGAAGGACAGGTAGAAAGGGACACAGATGGGTGTAAAAGTGCATGGATACACCGGAGGAAAGGATGGAAGGACGAAGCTAGGTAGTGTGTGCATGGAGGAAGGAATTTCAGCTTTCTTATCGGGAGCATATTGATTCTAATCCCCGCACTGCTTCCCTCACAGGGTTATTGTGGGCTTCAAATAGGATAGGGATGGGTACGAATGTGCTTTCAAGGAGCATTGTTGTTGCTGTTGATATTAATAACAACACTTGGCCCTAACTGCTTTCCTGGCTGGGGTATCATTCATCAGTACCGCACCAAGACCACCGCCGTTGTCAAGTCCCCCAAGGTGGCGTCAGATGAGGCCCCTCCTCAGCAGATCCTCGTCTATGGGGTCCAGGAAGAGAATGGCTCTCGAGTGCAGAACTTCGCCCTGGACCTGACCCCGCCGCCCGAGGTCATTTACAAGTCAGAGCCTGGCACCAGTGATGGCATGAACGTGCTGGGCATTGTCATCTTCTCCGCCACCATGGGTAGGCACAGCCCCCACCCCAGCAGGGCCCTGGAGCTTTCCCTCCTCCCCTCTGTTCTTCCACCTCGCTCTCCCCCTGCACACCCCTTCTTTCCTTCCTCCAACAATCTGAATCATCGGAGGCCTTCCAGTCTTTTACCATCTGAGTAGACTGTCTCAAGTCCCCATCTCATTCCTGAGGGATGTCTTGACCCTCCCCCAGATTGGAGCTGGGTGCTCCTCCTCACCACCCTCACTTGTAATTCTCCATCCCTGCTCTGGTGGTGCAGTGCCACCATTTGACTGCTAACCAGAAGGCTGGTGGTTCAAACCCACCAGCCACTCTGCAGAAGGAAGACTGAGCAATCTACTTCCCTAAAGATTTACCACCTTGGAAACCCAATAGGGGTTGCTATGAGTTGGAATCGACTTGATGGCAGTGGGTTTGGGTTTTTTTGGTTTGGGGCTGCTTTGCCTCCAGGAGTGTCATCCCTCCTTCTTTCTTGCTGCCTGCTCTCAAACCTTTACTCAGGTCTGGGGAAATGGGGAGAGAGGGTTACAGTAAAGAGCAGGAAACTAAAATGATTAGACATCATTGTTTATTTAAAGCCCTTGTGCCTCCCTCCCCATCTGAGGTGGCTTCTTGCTAGAGCTCACCTTGAAAGAGTACACATGGGTAAAATTACTTATGTGGTAGGTGCTTTGCAGGGAAGCCCAGGATGCCAAGGGGAGAGTGACAGGATGGTCAGGGAAGGCTTTATTCATTCACTCACTTGTTCATTTGCTCATTCAACAACTACTGTGGAGCATCTACCATGTACCAGCCATGGAGATACAGTTCTTGCGCTCACAGAGCTAACATTGTACTGGAGGAGACAGAAACACAGACAAATGGAAAACAATAGCTCTAAGTTGTAATACCAAAAGCAAACTAAACCCACAGCCATCAAGCCAACTGCAACTCATAGTAACCCCCACTGAGTTTGCAGGCTGTAAATCTTTATGGAGATAGATTATCTCATCTTCTTCCCATGGAACAGCTGGTGAGTTTGAACCACCATGCTTCTGGTTAGCAGTCAAATGCCTTAGGCCCTGCACCACCAGAGCTCCTTCTAAGTTGTAGTAAGTGATATGAAAGAGATAAGATAGAGATTTATGGGGAGATTCTTTGGGCAGAGAATAGAATAACTCAAAAACCAAACTCACTGCTATCAAGTCGATTCCAACTCATAGTGACTCCCTCATTGGGTTCTATAAACCCAAGTCTGCTTTGTAGAAGCAGACTGCCTCATCTTTCTTCAGATGGGTTCGAACTACCAACCTTTTGGTTAATAGTCAAATGCCCTAACCACCACACCAGCAGAGGTGGGGGCAAAAGAGAGTAGAAGCAGGCTTGTCTGAGACCTACAGGCAGAGAAGGAGCGAGCATAAGAAGATGCAGCCAGTGCTGCGGCAAGAGGGCTCTGCATGAGTAAAGGCTCTAATGCAGTGAGGACCTTGATGGATCTTGGAAACTTCAAGAAAGCCAGTGGTGCTGGAGCATAGTGGGGAGGGGAGAGCAGGGCAGATGACATAAGGGAGGCCTGAAGCTGGGGAGCTTGGCTGGGGCCTAAATGCACAAGGAAGTCAGCAGGGGTGTTCAGCAGGGGAGCACTTTTATTTTAATAAGATGACATTTGCTGGGGTGTGTGGAATGGATAAGAGAGGAATGAGAGATGTGAGCCTGTGGGGAGCTCATTGCCTTGGTCCAGTGGCAGAGGCCGAGGAGAAGAAAAGAAGAGAGTGGAAGGGAGGAATGGTGCCTCCGAGGCTGCTGGGAAGTCGGCCAGGGCCGAGATCTGCCTGGGCCCTCCTGACTCCTGTATGCGTCTGCACGTGCAGACACATGTGCCTGGCCTCTGCCAGGGGCATCTGGATGTGCTTGTGTCCCTGCCCCCACAGGCATCATGCTGGGCCGCATGGGTGACAGTGGAGCCCCCCTAGTCAGCTTCTGCCAGTGCCTCAATGAATCTGTCATGAAGATCGTGGCGGTGGCTGTGTGGTAAGCCTCCTCCCCCCAAACAAGGCCATGCCCAGGGAGGGTGGAGGGATGCCAGAGCCCCTTCCTGTGTAGCCCCAGGAGAAAGCTGCACATCAGGCTCACCCCTGGGCCTGGGGCTTCCAGGGCTACACACATTTTTATGGGTCCCCCAGCCCTACCTAGGCCTGGTCCCAGCCCTGGTTCTGCCTTTTTGGGCCCAGTCAGGAGGAATGCTAAGAGCTAAGCCAGGCCGTGCTGCTCACAGGGCCTGTTTCCTCATCAGCTTGATTTTTAGAGAAAGGAAACATTTAAAGTGAGAACCAACTTCCACTCCTTGGCTCAGAGTTCAGACCTCAGAAATCTTCCAGTCCAACCTTGCACAGTTGAAGTAGGGAAATGCAGAGGCCTGCCCAAGGTCATCCACAGAGATGTGGCACTGCTGGGGCTAGGACATGGGCCTTCTCAAGGCGGAGGTACTGTCAGAGAAGGAGCGAGAGCTTCTCCAGGGCTGGGGTGGTTGAGGGTAATATTGATAACGCCTTGTGCCTGATCCCAGGCTGGCACTTTTCTACATGGTGTCCTTCAGCTCTTGTGTGACCTCTAGGAGGCTCAGAGAGGATGAGTCATGCAGTGATGTAAGGCTGAGGCTGAGAACTGCTGGCAACCTGAGCGTTGGACTGCCTTGCCCATCCCAGGTATTTCCCCTTTGGCATCGTGTTCCTCATTGCTGGCAAGATCCTGGAGATGGATGACCCCACAACCGTTGGGAAGAAACTGGGCTTCTACGCAGTTACTGTGGTGTGTGGGCTCGTGGTCCATGGCCTCTTCATCCTGCCCTTGCTCTACTTCTTCATCACCAAAAAGAACCCCATCGTCTTCATCCGTGGCATCCTCCAGGCCTTGCTAATTGCACTGGCTACCTCCTCCAGGTAGCCCTGGGCAGTGGGCAGGATGGGGAGATGGTGGTTGAACTCAGCCCCTCTGTCCAGCCACCATGTGTCCACAGACATAGAACCACAGAAAGTGTCATGTCAGTCTGGCCCCTCCACAAGCTTGGGGTAGCTATGGTAACAAGATCTATTTCGAAATTTATCATTCAAGGCCCCACCAACCCAAGTAGCAGAAAGCCCTTATCTCTTCTTGAGGCCTTCTCCTTTCCCAAGTGCCCACAATCCCTAAAGTTTATTCAATCAAATAGCTCAGCTTCCACAGAGATGAGAGGGAGAGAAACAGCAGTCTGATGAATTTACAGTTGCTGTTGCCCCTTACCGCCACTTGGTGTCGCTGTTGGAGATGCCCCTTCCCTCTCCATCCCACTCTCATGGTTCTGGAGGCTTTGCCTCTCCTAACGTCTGGGACATCTTTGCACCACTACAGCCTTGGCAGTGTAGCTAGACTGTGTGGGTTTACATCACGGCTCTGTTGCTTCCTAGCTGTGTGACTATGGGCCAGTTACTCAGCCTCCCTGGGCACCAACTTCTTCATATACAGAACAGGTATAATTATAACCACAACTCTTGGGGTTGCTGTGTGGACTGAGATGATCCAATTAGGAGAAGACTGCCAGGTTGAACCAGATGAATCAAGACCTGCCCTTAAAGACCCCATACTGCAGCTGAGTGCAGACCTCAGGGAGTTAGAGTCATGCAGACCAGCTATCAATCAAGTGGAAAGAGAAAGAAGCGTAAGCATCTAACCCTGAAAAGACAGGGTGGTGAGGAGACTGCCTCACAGGTAGGAAGCTCCCACAATGAGACCACCTCTGTCTGGAGCCAAAGGCCATCCCTTCAGCCCTTACTGCCTTCTCGCACCTAGGCCTCCATTTCCCAATTTGTAAAATGGGGATGGGAGCTCCCTGCAGGCCTTCTTCCCTGGCAGTCACATGACCCCGCCGTTGGCAGCAGAAGCACCTCATGCAGGACTCAGGAGAAGCAAAACCCCATTGAGGAAAAAGTCCCAGAAGCCATTGCCCAGGAACCTACAACCAAGGCTGAGGCTACGAGGCAAAGGGGAAGGCAAAGCCCCAAATGGCTGCCACAGCCTGGCCATCTCCTGCTCGACAGGAACCATAGTCTCAGCCGGCACCTTTGGGGCTTGTTAAAGCCTCTGGCAGGTGGAACCGGAGTCTCCAGGGAGGGACCTCTGGGGAGCGGGAAGGGCACTGGAGCCACACCAATCTGAGCTTTAGTCCCAACACTGCCATTAAACCAAAAAACCAAACCCGTTTATGAGTCAATTCTGACTGATAGCAACCCTATAGGACAGAGTAGAACTGCCCCATAGGGTTACTAAGGCTGTAAATCTTTATGGAAGCAGACTGCCTCATCTTCCTCTCATGGAGCAGCTGATAGGTTTGAACCACTGACCTTTTGGTTAGCAGCTAAATGCTTTAACCACTGTGCCATTAGAGCTCCTTAGCACTTTAAAAAAAAAAAAACACCGAACTTACTGCCATCAAATCGGATCCAACTCGTAGCAACCCCTCCTTGGGTTTCCGAGGCATTATCTCTACGGAAGTAGACTGCCCATTCTTCCTTTAAAGGAGTGTCTGGTGGGTTTGGACTGCCAGCCTTCTGGTTAGCTTTGTCGAGTTAGCTTTGACTCAGGGCAGCCTCATGTGTGACAGTAGATCTGTGCTCCATAGGGTTTTTGGTGGCTGATTTTTGGAAGCAGATGATCAGACTTTTCTTCTGAGATGCCTCTGGGGGGACTTGAACCTGCAACCTTTCTGTTAGCTTAGTGCATTAACTGTTTGCACCACTCAGGAACTCCTAGGACCTTAACAACAACATAATAACAACACTAGCAGTGGATAACATTTATTGAGTGCTTACAATGTACTAGACATGGTCCTAAGTACTTACTCATTTAATCCTCCTAATAACTCTATTGGCGGTTCAAACCCACCAGCCACTCCTCGGAAGGAAGGTTGGGCAATCTACTTCCATAGTGATACCCCTCTTAGGAGGGGTCGCTAAGAGTCAGGGCTGACTTGATGGCACATAACAACAACAACAA